AAGTATCCGACTCTTTTTTTTTTAAGATTTTTATTTATTTATTCATGACAGATGCACAGAGAGAGAGAGAGAGAGGCAGAGACCCAGGCAGAGGGAGAAGCAGGCCCCATGCAGGGAGCCTGATGTGGGACTCGATCCTGAGACCCCAGGATTGCGCTCTGGGCCAAAGGCAGGCGCTAAACCACTGAGCCACCCAGGGATCCCCAGCATCCGACTCTTGATATCATCTCACGTTTTGATATCAGGATTGTGAGTTCAAGTCCCATGTTGAGCTCCACACCCAGCATGGAGCCTACTTGAAAAGAAATAAATAAAATAAGCAGATTATATTTCTAAATTTAAAACACGATAGTGCCATTTTTATTCCAAAACAATCCATTTTAATCACTTAAAAGAAGTAATTTAGAGTCCAAAAAGAGGCTTGTTATTTCAGACCATATTGGTACAATATCCAAAAACATGGATTCAAGAAGTCAATTAGGAATTCACTGAGCACCAGAGTCACAGATTGGAAATCACTTTCTACAACTTGAGAAATGAATAAGCTGAAATTAATGAATACATGTGGAAGACAACAATAACTACCTGCAACAGAGACTGGCTAGGTGGTCAGTAAAAACTTTTTCTTTCTTCCTTATCTACTTGGACACACAAATAGAATAAATTTCCCACCCTGTTTTGCAATTCAGTGGCAGGGACTAAATTCCATTTGACAAGATATGAGTAAAAGGTATGTATCATTTCTAGAACAGTCCAATGAAAATCAATAAACAATCCTTTATGGGTTTCCCCCTTCCTTGGCAATGTTGGCAATAAGTAATGAGTAACTAAACATTTTTCCTTTGTGGGCTCTGATTTATAAATATATATATATATATATATATAAACAAATATATATATATAAACAAATCTATGCTGATTTAAATATACATATATTTAAATCAGCATAGATTTGTTTTTGAGGGGATCCCTGGGTGGCTCAGCAGTTTAGCGCCTGCCTTTGGCCCATGGCGTTATCCTGGAGTCCTGGGATTGAGTCCCACGTCCCGCTCCCAGCATGGAGCCTGCTTCTCCCTCTGCCTGTGCCTCTCTCTCTCTCTCTTTCTCTCTCTCTCTATCATGAGTAAATAAATAAAATCTTTAAAAAATAATAAAAAGATTTGTTTTTGAATCACAAAATACACGGATTAGGTTTAAACAATCAATCCAGAATAAGTACTTAGTAGTTACTCAATATAGCACATTGTTTGACCTTCCTTGAGCAGATTTCATCATATGAGTACCCAGAAATTAAAATTAACTTCCAATATCTAGCCACTACTACCTAAATTAAATCTAAAATCCTTAACCCAGGACTTAAAATCTCTTCAAGTCTAAATTCCCTAATGTGTAAAATGTGGTTAATAAGGCCTATATTTAGGGATAAAATGTATGTAAAACATCTAGCTCAGTATCTATGGCTCATTATTAGTGCCCACAGTGAATCAAATACATATTTTTAATCTCATCTACCAATTCTCTTGTACACATAAATACATCCTCTTACTCATACGTCAGTCAACCTATTCCTTAAATATACTCTTAAGGACTATTTCCTGAGTATCATTTGTAATATGCACTTTTAAGTTTTGCTATCATTGAATATCAGTTAAAAATATTATTTATTATTACAATTATATAAGAAAATATCCATGTCTTAGAGATGAACAATGAAATATATAGTGGTTAAATAAGATGGGATGAGCACTGGGTGTTATTCTGTATGTTGGCAAATTGAACACCAATAAAAAATAAATTTATTATTTAAAAAAATAATATGATGTCTGAGATTTGTTTTAAAACACTTCAATAAAAAAGGTTAAATAAAGCAAATGTGGCAAAATGTTAATAACTAATCTGAGTAACAGGTATTTATGGGTTCCTTATACTATTATTTCTAACTTTTGTGTATGTTTAAAATATCCATAATAAAAAAGATATGTATTTTTTAAAGATTTTATTTATATATTCACGAGACACACAGAGAGAGGCGGAGACATAGGCAGAGGGAGAAGCAGTCTCCTCACAAGGAGCCTGATGCAGGACTCAATCCCAGAGTCAGGATCACAACCTGAACCAAAGGCAGACATTCAACCGCTGAGCCACCCAGGCATCCCAAAAAAGATAATTTAAAATAAATGCACCATTGATGTGAGATGGGCAGGTAAGCAAGTGTCCTTAAGTTCATGATCTCATCCAGGATGAAGAGGCAATCAACTTATTTCAATGGATGCCAGGGGCTGGAAGCAGAAAGAATTCCCTTATCTTCCCTACACCAAATGACAACATTTAGACACCTTTAGTGACTTTGTGGAAGAAAAATGACCTTAAGATTGACAAACTTTATAGAAGCCTTGTTTCCCTTAATAAATATTTAATTAAAAAATAGCCAAAAACATGGGAATTTTCAATAATTTGATTTTTATTTTAAACATTATCCAAATTCTCAGAATTGTATAAGTTTGGCCAGATTTTTGTGTAAACAGGACATCAGAAGAATCCTAAATCATGGAGAAGCATGGTATTTTAAAACTGTTTTCTAGAAGAAAGCATCCTGTGCAGGGTATATCTAGGACAAAGGAAACCTTACAGAATGATGTCTTGGTGGGTGTTCTTAGTGTAAAAGGAAGGATAGTAAGTAAATTAATAAATAACCTTTACATACATAGAGGATTTTTCAATCGAGTAAAGCACATTATTTAGTGCCTTGTTTTTTCACCACATAAACACAATTTTTGTATTAGAGTTCTGAGATACCTTCCAGTTGCAAAAGCTTATTCTTCTTTAAGTTAAGGCATTTTTGTTTCCTTTATGCTCTTTTCAATGTAAAGACCAACCAGTAATAATCTATTAGAGGAGCTTCCGGTGATTTATCCTGAAAAACTTATATGAGTTTCAGAAAGACAGAGTAAAGCCTTAAAAAAAAAAAACCCTACAAAACACTTGAGGGAAATGTACCAGCCAAATCTCAGTTCATAGAAAGGTTAAGAAATTAAAGCATAATTATGAAACTGAACATTACAGTGATATACTTTTTTTCTACTGCCCACCTGACATGTCTTTTTTTAATAATAAATTTATTTTTTATTGGTGTTCAATTTGCCAACATACAGATATACTAAAATGATTATACTATAATCTTTTTTAAACAAGTCTGAGTTGCATATGCAACAAGGAGTCTCTTGCAGAGATAAGAAGGAAAAAGACAAAGAGAAATTACAAAAATTTTGAGGAGCTTAAATTAGCTCAGTAGAACAATCCACACTAGGATGCTCTTACCTATGATTACTAAATACATTGATTCCTTACTCAAACTATTTGTCTCTATTCTAGCAAGGAGCTGAATCTAGAGTGGGATTTGGAAAAACAATGAGATTCATAACCAAAAGATATGAATCTGAATCCCAACACTACCATTTGTGATGGAGAGCCAATTACTTTATGATTCAAACTTAATTTTTTTAAGTAAGCTTTATGCCCAATGTGGGGATTGAACTCACAACCATGAGATCAAGAGTTGCATGCTCCACTGACTGAGCCAACTAGGTGCCCCAATTCAATCTTAATTTTTATAAAATGAAAACATACTTAAAGAAAATACAACTTATATACATATATACATTTTGTTTGTTTGTTTATTTATCTATTTTAGAGATTTATTTATTTATTTTAGAGAGAGTGTGTGTGTGAGTGGGAACAGGGGTAGAGGGAAAGAGAGAATCTTCAGACTCTCTTTCAATCTCAGGACATAGAGATCATGACCTGACCAAAATCAAGTTGCTTGCTTAACTGACTGAGCCACCCAGGTGCCCCGAAAATGCAGTTTATATTGAGGAAATCAGAGAAAGCCTGAGTAGGAAAAATTTAAAGCTAGCCAGGCCTATAAATGGTCATCAGATGAAAGCAGTACACTTCAGGAGACCAACATCATGTTGACATCTGTAAAGCATCTAAAATTCTAGAGATAGAAATATGTAGGCATGGGAAAATGGCCGTTCACATAACATACATACATTCCTTAATTTTGAATTCTTAAGATATTGATTATTTACCTGAATAAGAATACGTATAATTGTGGTGTACCAATGTGAGATAGTGAGAATCATCCGCATTGTGTGCAAGCAAAAAAAAGTTGTATTATCTGTAGAAAATTTAAAAACATCAATAAAACCAACAAAATACTGGTCTGTTTGAATTATCACCATGATCTGGCGATTTTAAAAAATGTCAGTGATAGGGATCCCTGGGTGGCGCAGCAGTTTGGCACCTGCCTTTGGCCCGGGGCGCAATCCTGGAGACCCGGGATGGAATCCCACGTCGGGCTCCCGGTGCATGGAGTCTGCTTCTCCCTCTGCCTGTGTCTCTGCCTCTCTCTCTCTCTCTCTCTCTCTCTCTCTCTGTGACTATCATAAATTAATAAAAAATTTTTAAAAAATGTCAGTGATAAAATACAGCTCTCCAGAAAAATATTTTGTCTAAGGTCTAAACACATGATGAAGTTACTGTTGAGTTTTATTAATATATAAGCTTCAAATAGCACATACTCATTACTACTAAGCACTGTATTGTTACTTATAAGTAAATTCAGATAACTCCCAATTTTATTAATGGCAACTAATGCACACAGACTCAGCTACAGGAATTCCTTTGAAGAGTACGTTCAAAATGGTTTAGAATCATTGAAACTTGCTTTGGGTGCAGTTCATGTCTCCAATCATCTGGAACATTTTTGTTTAAAACTATAGTTTCAGGGACACCTGGGTGGCTCGGGGTTGAGCGTCTGCTTTCAGCTCAGGGTGTGATCCCAGGGTCCTGGGATTGAGTCCTGCATCAGGTTCCCCACAGGGAGCCTGCTTCTCCCTCTGCCTATGTCTCTGCCTGTCTCTGTTTCTCTCATGAATAAATAAAATAATTTTAAAAATAAACTATAGTTTCAAAATAAATGACAGTCAGTGAATGTCTCTATTTTTGAAGCAGGGCTTCTTTATTAGTCTCCTATTGCTGCTGCAACAAATTACCAGAAATTTAGTGGCCTAAATTTTTTAAATGATTGTAATTTTCCCTTGTGTAAATGTCAAAATTAGTCTCTGCCCTTTCCCTGCCTCCAAAAGATGTCATGGAGATAAATAACTGGAAAGGTATCACATTCTGAATAAATCATAGATGTTTACATACCATATCAAGCCTGGCTTGATAACATCTCCCAAATAATTCAAAGCAAGGTTCAAAGCCCAAACTTCCAGGACTCTAACCACAATGCTATCACCTACTAAAAGGATTCCCTTTCTTCTAGTTTCCAACATGTTCCTTACCTCTTTTAGAGCCTTTGCCTACAGCATCCTTAAAGTCCGTATTACTACTGACAGACTGTTTAAAGCAAAATTTAGGCTTTCCCTATCATACTCCTCAAAATTCTTCCAATCTTCACCCACTGCCTAATTCCAAAAACACCCCCACATTTTAGGTACTTGATACAGCAGCACTCCACTTCCAGTACCAGCGTCTGCAGTAGTATTCTACCGCTCCATAACAAATTACCATACAATTAGTAGCTTAACACAACACCCATTACTATCTCACAATCCTGTGGGTCAGGAATCCAGATACAGCTTAACTGTACTGAGACCCTCTACTCAGGGTCTCACAGGACCAAAATCATGGTATCAGCCAGGACTGCAAGCTTATCTGATAATTGAGGTCCTCTTCCAAGTTCGCTGGTTGTTGGTATAATTTAGTTCCTTCCAACTGTGGAGTGAAATTCTCGTTTTCTTGCTGGCTGTCAACCCAGGAGCCTTCTCAGCTCCCTGAGGCTACCTTCAGGTCCTTGCCACATGGCCCCCTTGTCTCACAACACAGCTTTTTGCTTAAGACCAATAGGTGAGTATCTTCCGCTGCTTGTCTCAATTAAGGACTCCTGTGATTAGGCCAGACACACCTAGGATAATCTCCCTTTTGATTAATTCAAAATTAAATGGTTAGTAACATAAATGCAGGAGTGAAATCCCCTCGTATTCACAAGGCTTGCTCACACCAACAGGAGGGAATTATACAGAGCATGTATGCAAGGGGTGGAAATCTTGAGGCCATCTTAAGACCCTTTGACCTTGGATGCTGTATTGGATTCCTGTCCTTACAGTGCTGCTGAAGTGTTCCATGTTCTTATTTCCCTCCCTTTTCCCAGTTTGTATTTCCTTGTTCTTGGAACAGAGATGCTTCTTGCTTTAAAGTAGGCTTTCAATGATTTCTTTTCTCCATAAAATCAGAAGGAAGTAATTAAGACAGTTTTCTTGCTGGTTAATAACCTGGAAAAGGCCACCATAGGCAGAACTGTATATATAATCTTTACTCTTCCCCAGGTCCTCAGGCAACATGTATGGACACATGTTCATGGATATTTAAGAATGTAGAAGCTAGAGAAAGTCAATAAAGCAAAGTATTTCTTGACTTTAAAGTCTGTCTAGTATAAAGTAACACTCTGCTACCCATTTAAAAGCATTTTTTATAAGATGAAAAGTCTAACAAATGTTTGAAATACTTTTAAGAATTGGCTGAAAAGAATCCATAGAGAAACCTATTTGCTTTCTGCACAATTGTTGCTGCTAGCTGTATGTCTAGTTCAGCTCTTGCCTAGAAAATAATTCATCAATTAAGTTTATTATTTTTCTTCTATGTCCCCTGGGGAAAAAAGCCTCACTTTTCCCCCTTCTGTGCTCTGAAAGATCCTTTCTTGAATGACCGTGATGTGATTAGAGTTTTAAGACTATTTAATGTATGCACTATAAACACTGTGGCTTCTTCTAAATAGTTTTAGCAATCAAGGTCAGCACATCTACAGGGACATGCACAAACCTTTATACATATGTAAAGGTAACTGAAACATGCCCTCCCAAAAGTCATTAGATGAAAAGAAACCCCTCCATCTATAGAAAACCAACTAGTCTATTGTTGGAGTCTGACAAAATATCATTTAAAAATGTTCATTTTATGTTACTATGTGAATGTATGCTATTTTCCATAGTTTTATGAAAGGAATGTCACTCTACCAGGCTTTATATTTAATTATTAATTTCTGCTAGCTTTCAGGTAACAACTTGTATACCAGAAGAGAAGCAGGTACTAAGGAGGTCATTTCCTGCTCTTCTAATGTGAATTGGGCTACATTCACTACTCTGACAGGTTCAGGCACCAGCTTTATCTCCATAGAGTATTCATCACATATTTTGCCAGATATATCAAAGAAAATCAGAAAACTATACTTACTCAAATAGCAGGAGTCAATTCTTACATAGGAACTTCTAATCCCAAAACCATATACAACTTACAACAGGTTTGAGGAAACTTCACTATAGGAAACAATCATAAGCATTTAAAAACAGATATAAATCATTTTATATAAGATATGACAAAGAGATCATATGCCTGAAAAAAATGTGAAGTGTCACATACTTTGAAATGTCTTTTAAAAGTCAATTATAGATGGGTAGCCCTGGTGGCGCAGCGGTTTAGTGCCGCCTGCAGCCCGGGGCGTGATCCTGGAGACCCGGGATCGAGTCCCACATCAGGCTTCCTGCATGGAGCCTGCTTCTCCCTCTGCCTGTGTCTCTGCCTCTCTCTCGCTCTCTCTGAATAAATAAATAAATCTTTTTTAAAAAGTCAATTATAGATATAGTCATAAGAACCCAAAGAAATTTATTTATAAAATTTCTTACTTGACCAGTGGTGAGAACCAAAAAACACTCAACTAAAACCCTACTAATAGTCTTTAAGCTGGTTCATACAAGAGAACAAGCAGAGTAGCTCTTGATTATTAGGCTATAGGTCTTTCAATTGCACAAGGACATACATTTATTTTTTTAAATATTCTATTTATTTATTCATGAGAGACACACAGAGAGAGAGAGAGAGACAGAGACAGAGACATAGGCTGAGGGAGAAGCAGGCTCCCTGCAGGGAGCCCAATGCGGGACTCGATCCTAGAACCTTGGGATCATGCCCTGAGCCAAAGGCAGACACTCAACCACTGAGCCACCCAGGTGCCCTGGACATACATTTAACCACAGGGGTCTGTGCAAGTGGCATCATGGTATCTGTAGACTTAGCTGAGTCATAGCTTCCAGAGTGCTATTCCCTGTCTACTTTACATAGCTATTTCACTACTCTTGCGGATTTCTTTGTTAGCTTCTTTCTCTTTTTCTTCTCCTTTGTTGGTTTTTGCTTTTTCTCTTTCTCTGTTGGCTCCTTTTTCTTCTGCCTGTGCACTGTCAGCTCCCTTCCCTCTTCCATGGTTGCCTTCTTTCTCTTCTTCTTTGTCATGAACACTGGTGTAAACTGCTTTGTTATAGCCTTCCCGGTTCCGAGCAATTTCAATAGCAAGAAATTGTATCCTGGGGGCTGAAAGGTGAATAGAATGGATTATTGTCTTAGTCACAGTTACTTCTCTAAACCCACTGGAAATCTATTGACAAAGCTGATCTAACATCAAAGCATTCCAATAGTCATAAACTTCAGAGATATGGAATTCTAATCTTGTTAAATGAGGCTGAAAATACTTAACCATCTTATCTCACAGTTATTCAACAAACAGTAACATGACCTTTAAATATATAACAAATGATTCCCAAATTATTCACGTCACTAATTCATCAGTAAAACCAGATCCCTCACTCTCCTTATACAGAAACAATTCCAGAGGCAAGAATCTCACCAAAGATGGTGTTTTCCTCAGTGTAGCCCTGAGAACAATCCAGTCGCAGCAAAGTACCATAGTTGAAGTCTTCTACAACCCCGTCAAACTTCAAGCAGAATGGTCTCCACTTCTATAAAGGCAAAAAGATGCCTTAGCTGATAAATGCAGGAGGCTGGTAAAGTCATGCCAGGAGAAGGAACTCCACTTCCTCAGTAAGGAAAATACCCATGGTGAAAGAGACTAGGACTGAGTTGATTTCTACTTTCACTAGCATTGAGTGTCTATGTTATTTACTGTCTTTATACTTCCCAACATGAACAATATTTTAACTTGACAAAATATTTAAATCCTTGACTACAAAATTAAAATATGATTTCTTAAATATATTCTGTTTTGTTTTTAAGTTATTGGTTAACTCAGCCAAAAATAGTTATTCATCTCCACTGAAGCACAAAGGAGACAAAGGCAGCAGGAATCTGGCACAAAGATACAAAGTTAAAATTTAAGAAAGAAGTCCATTCACTGGAGGTAATTTTCCAAAGATCAGTAACAGAGTTAACGGTTAACAGTAACAGTGTTAAAAGTTTACATTTTTCATAAACCAAGGACCTACTCTCAGGGAAATACTTTCTCCACTGTAAGAATTTTAGCACACTGTAAAAGTATGATAATCAGGTCAGCAATGGGAAACATAAGATTTCCAATTATCCAAGGCCCATGATAATGTGAACTTAAATCCAGAGAATTTAATCACCTCTCCGTACCCTATTTACTAATTATCCATCCAAGCCTTCTGGCTAAACTACTGACAGAAGTAAATTTGTTCCTCTTCCCCTGAAAGGGCTGGATAGGAAAGGATGCAATGTCCAAGTCAAAAAAAAAAGAAGAAAAGAAAAAATAGATCCAATGAACATAAAAAACTTATAAACCAGAAAAACATTTATTTCATTTCATAATTTACTTATTATTTGCTTATAATTACATAAAAGCCTGGTTCTTTACATATTTCATTAAAAATTAGTACTGAAAAAATTTTAAATGTATAAAAATATATTTACAATAAATAACTGTTGGTCAGATGTTAGGCAATATTTGAGAGAATTCTTACCTCTTTAGCGGACTCTGATTTGAGCTCTTCTGTATCCAACACATCTATCCTGAGTTTCTCGAAATTTTTCCGAAACTCAGAATAGATTTGGTCATCCACTTTGGTGAGTTTCAGGAACTGTGGGTCAACTGATGAAATCAGCTGCCAGACATAAGATAACATAGTCTCTAATTTACCACACTTCTATCCCCCCTTCCCCAGATAATCTTTATGGTTCTAAGGGCAGAAGAATTATTAGGAAGTACAGACAGATTAGGGTTCCAAATGAAATTATGACATAGTTTTCAAGGGCCATAATATACTACAGTCCTTGCTACCAATTCACACCCTTGTAGTCCCAGTACTGGCTGGTTATTGCCCTCTGTGAATTGTTCATTCAGTTGTCAAACATTTACTAGTTGCCCACTATGGGCTACGAATCATTTTACTGGTTAGCATCAGAACACCAGGCAAAGAAGTACAACTCCCCGTTGTCAAAACAAAATTCACTTCCACCTCCCCCTTATTCTCTTTGGGTAAAATCTCCAAAATGTATATATTTAACTTGCTGAGAATAGTGATTAGTGAAGAACCACACGCTACAATTACATGTTTCATTCTCCTTAATAAGGAAGACAGACAACTCACCTTGTAGTAGACTTCAGCATGCTGCATTGCTTTCATGGCCCAAGCCATCTCGATATCAGGCTGCAAAAGAGTAACATGATTATCCAGTTTCAACTTGTATAATCTCCCAATCCTGCTACTGGAGAACAAATTAAGGATGTCTGTGGATGTCTAGTTAGAATCTCCCAATCCTGCTACTAGAGAACAAATTAAGGATGTCTGTGGATGTCTAGTTAATGTCAACACTGCCAAACTTGGTGTTACTGTCAATGGATAAAAACTGCTCTAATGGATTTGGAAAATATAAAACTTTTGTCCTTATGAAGGATACTGCCTACCAAAAGAAGCTGCCTGCACAGTCTAATCAATGGCATAAGCCACTGGCTCTTTTTCCAGCAGCTAGTGAAAGTGTGGGAGACTATATAAAGCAGTAATAGACTGCCTTCTGAGGAATGAATTAAACCATTGTAAAACTGATACAGTTCATTCACATATTATCACTGAGTTGTTGGAAGAACAAAGTAAGATAATGGAAGTGAAACACCCTTCACTTTCAATACTGTAATATAATCATCATTTGTGTTTATCAAATAGCCAATTCCCAATCCATTACACTTAAAATTAAATCAGTATTGTGAAGCAGGATAGGTTATAAGTAAGCCTTTATCAAGTACCCACCACCTGTTCCACTTCAATCTCCCACTCCAGCTAGATGATGTATTTTCATTGACCTCAGCCAAGCCATTTGCATTTTTATCTCCATGCCTTATACCATGTCATTTGTCCAATTAGAGATTGGATTGAGGATCCAGTTAGAGATTCACTTTCTCAGTGAAATCTTCCTCTACTTTCTCAGCTCTTAGAGGTTTCTTTTTTGGCTAAACTTTAGATCTTATACCCTAATGTAACATATATCAATCACATTTTTATTTGAGTGTTACTACTATTCTCATGTCCCTGTGTCTTGTCTCAAAAATATTATATGCATTCTTCTTAAGGATCTAAACAAGACATACCATAATTCAGTGTCACTTTACTGCATAATGCAATTACTCGGGAATATTTAAAAAATACTAATTTCTGACATTCACTGCCCCCCCCTAGATATTTTGATTTCATTGGTATATTTTGGGACCTGGACATTGGAAGATAAAAAAAGCTTCAGGTGGTTCTAGCGAGAAAAGTAGGGGAACTACTTCCACCTGCATTTATTCTGGGTTTGTGGACCAAAAAGGTTAGAATGCATGAAAAAGCGCGGTTTCTGGAGGGCATGATGAGGGTTCACAGCTATCAGCGGGTTACAATTTCGTGGCAGGCCCTGCAGACACGCCAGGCTAGCTGGGTGTGTGGGAGCTGGGGGTGAGTCATACTCACATCATTGCCATAAGACTCGGCTGGGAGAGAAAGAGCATGTGCCACAGACACCAGTTCCCCGGGAACCTGGGAAGGGGGAAAGAAAGGGGAGAGAGGGAGTTCAAAGCTCGACCCGACTTGACTTCCCCACTCACCCGACCCCAAAGCAGCGTCTCACCGGCTCAGCAGTTCCCCTAGTCGTCTCCATGTTGAGCCCCACAAAGCCAGCACCAGTTTCCCGGAAATGACTATTTGCGCGCAGTGTATGCAGCCTGTTGGAAAAGGAAGGAGGGCCGGCAAGAGTGGCTGGCTCTCTTTCCGGCTGCGCTTGCGCGCAGCCTCCATCTCCTGGGGCATTTGTCCTTGGCCCCTCCTCATCCGCCTTGCACGCACTCAGAGGTATTCCTTGCTGCGCAGACTGGCGGCATAGACTGGGAAACTCCGGGCTTCACAGGTGGTTGAATGCTCATTAATATCGGTGGTGATCATGCGCAAAACCTGAGTTAAAGCTTTCGCGTGCCCACTGCGCTGAGTAACCAGCAGAGATTCGGATTCACACCCTCCATCTGTGCAAACGGGCACTCCCCCCCCCAATACTCCCAAGTAGGGAGTCCATCACAAACAAGCATGGTGTAAGGCAGTGGAGTGGAGGGATGAAGAATTTAGTCCCTGTTTTGAAAGAAATACATACAGTGAGATAGCGCATAAAGTGTTCAACACTAAATACCGTAATGTACTATAGGAGCAGAAATAGAGGTTACATAAACTGAAACATGAAGGGTAACCAACAAAGCAGGCAAAGCAGGCAGGGAAGGACACTCCAGAGAGTGGGGAGTGCATGTGGAAAGGCACCTGGAGAACAAAACACCATGGGACCTTGAAGCAAATTAAAAAAAAAAAAAAAAGGCTGCACTACGGGTGTAGTCATTTATGATTTTGAGGGAAAAGTTAGGATTACTATCCTGAATATTAGGAAGTTGAAACTTTAACCTAAAAGCAATGGTAAGCTAAAAGACATCTTGAAGTAGAGAACTCGAGATTAAGCTGAAATTTTAATAAGATCAAAGATCACTAAAACACAATGTGCCAGATAATTTTGAAGAAGGCAATTTTGGAAGCAGATACACCAAACTGAAGACACTAAGTGATGAAAACGGAAGCCAAGGCAAGAGCAGTGCAAAATATTCTGAGAAACAAGAAGGGAATTGGAATCCATAGAGCTTTTTGACTAATTGGATATGAGAGATATAGAAGAATCAGGATTCCAGTATGAGTCCCAAATTTCAGGATAAGATGTGGAAATGCATGCATTGAGCTTAAAAAACAGCAAGAGGAGGGATGATGGTGTTTAATTTGAGGAGTTGAGTTTGAAGAGCCAATGGGACGTTGAGATGGAACTGACTGGTTAGAGGGAGATCTGACTGGAGATATACATCTTATAGCTGTTTCTTTAGGTCTAATTGAGCTGTTCAAAGGAAACTCTGAAGAACTCAAAGACACAAAGATCAGTTCACAAAGAACTATTTATGAAGAAGCAAAAAGGCAGAAAAAGTGAGTGTGTGTGTGAGAGAGAGAGAAAGAGAGAGAGACACAGAGAAAGGTGAATAGTGTCCAATCCCCTGGGTTGAGTACATTAAGCCCACAAATATCGAGAGGTCACTGACAACCATAGCAAGAGCAGGCTTAGTGAAATGGTGAGGGCAGAAGTCAGAGGGCAGTGGGTTGAGAAGGGAGTGGGGGTTAAAAAAGAGATGGCAATGACCATAGGAAGTTCTTCTAAAGAGTTGAAGCTAGAAAGAGACAGGAGGTCCAGGGACTTTTTAAAATTGTGGTGAAATACACATAACAGAAAAGTTGACCCCCTTAACCATTTCTAAGTATACAGTTCAAGAGTGTTAAGTGTATCCACGCCACCGTGCAACAGAAGTAGTTCTTCTTGCAAAACTGAAAGGCTGCACCCATTAAACAACAACTTCCATTTTTCCCTCCCCCCAGCCCCTGGCAACCACCATACTACTTTCTGTTTCTATGAATTTGACTACTTTAGATACCTCACTCAAGGGCAGTCATATAGTATTTGTCTTTTTGTGACTGGCTAATTCCACTTAGTAGAATGTCCTCAAGGTTCATCCGGACCAGGAATTGAGGTTCTCACAAGATTGGAAAAGCCAATTGCTCTGTACCCGCAAACAGCAGCAGATCAAACTGTCATCCAGGGCCTTTCCCATTGCCAGGCCAGGCAGAGCTATCAAAATAAGCATTGGCCTTTCCACTCACACCCATTGTTTCAGATGGACTCAAGGTAGCTGGCTACTAAAATAAGGGAAAGAAGGATGGGCCAGGAACATAAAAGGGGAGAGTTGGTGGACTTTAAGAACTATATTGAAGAAAGACCTTTGGGTGTGGGGTAAGAAACACGGAGATGGAAGTTCACCTGGGATGATTCTTTCTCTTTTCTGGAAGGGCACCACTGAGTTGACCTTCAGCTTCCTTCGAAGACAGGTAATATGGACATGCCATGGATGGATCCAAAGGTGTCACCAGTCCTGACTAAGGTGCTGAGGTATCTGTAGGGCCAGGGATAACAGGGGTGTGGAGAAAATGAAAGCTGTAATTGCTGGAGCTAGTGTACCATGGGGTAGAAGAAGGCATCTGACGTGTAAGGGAAGCAACTTCCATTATCAAATATGTTTGTCATTGGCAAGGCAGTTGGGTGAGTGCCGCTAGTTGCAGTTGGTAAAGCCATGTAGATACTCCTTAAAAATATGGATCACATGGTCATGGTGGCTGTCAGACTACATGGGAAGACAAACTTGAAGGACCTTGAAACTTGTCATTAAAAGTTGAGAGGAAAAATAGGACTATGGTCAGAAACCATTTAAGTTAGTCTACTATGAAAATATAAAATCTGGATAATAAAAGTGTTTCCTGTAATATTCCTGTAAATTATGTGGGTCATAAAACCTACCGGGGCTGACTTGCGTCATCTTATAGTAAGTGTGCTTCATGCCAAGATAGGATGTTAGAGATGGCATCTTGAGTGATTGTGTCCACGGGGTGTGTTCTATGGTCAGGAGGGAGTGCAACCATGACCCCAGGATGCTATTCCAGATTGGAACTTGTCCCAGAAACCTTGCTGTAAGACGCCCTCAAAATACATAAACCAAAAATTGAAAGAATTACAAGCATAAACGGACAAATCCAGTAAAATGGTGGGATATTTTAACACGTCTCTCAGCAATTGACTGCTCAAACAGCCTACAACCTAATAAGAATTTAGAAGTTTTGAACATGTGAACAAACTTGACTTAGTGGATAAATCCCGAACCCTAAACCCAACAATTACATAGTACCTGTCACTGGCAAGCATCTATGCAACATGCATAATAAATGTATTATTGGTGGCACCTGGGTGGCTCAGTCTGTTAAGCGTCTGACTTTGGCTCAGGTCATGATCTCAGGTTCCTAGGATTGAGTCCTACATCAGGCTCTGCCCTCAGCGGGGAGCCTGCTTCTCTCTCTCTCTCCCTCTGCCCCTCCCCCTGCTCATGTGCATTCTCTTTCTCTCTCTCAAATAAATAAAATCATAAATAATAATAAATAAATAAATAAATAAATAAATAAATAGTGCTTTTCAAAAAAAAAGAAGAAAGAGTCCAATTCATGCACACAAGCTAGAAGCCACAAATGGTATGAGGTAGAGTGTCCTGGGGCAATGAGGTCAGTGAGATATGAAACATGAATCCAGCAGCTATATAGGCAGATAGTATTGTGGGGTGTAGTTCTCATGGACTGTTTGGCTATTGGACTATAGGGCAGGAAAGCAAATTCAATTGGCCTTGAAACTTGTGACTAAAAGTTGAGAGGGGAATAAAAAGCTGGGGTTGTGGTCAGAAACCATCTGAGAGAGTGTTCCGTGAAAACTGAAAACCTGATTTACAAAATGTAACAGGGGCCAGGTAGAAGAGATGGTTGGTGCCATCTTGCTGAAGCTGTTGCGTGTGAATGTGGTGATCATATTCCAGGACTGTTTTGTGGTCAGGAGGACATACAATGGCCCCTTAAGATGCCATCCTGGCCATCTAACACAGTTGTTACAGGAGGTAACACAATGCACTGCATTCCTTTTGACATAGAGACTCACAAGTCCCTGAAAATCTTGCTCTGTCTTGGGATACAGTGGCCAGGAAGGGTTGACATCATGATATTGACACCACCCTCACTGAAGGAAAGGTATAGCCATTCACTAGTCTCCATAAGTCCCTCTCAGCTTTGTGTCATGTCCACAGTCCCACCTCCATCCCACCCCCTTACCATCAAAAGTAGCTCTAGTGTTCCCAGGGGTGCTGTGATAAGATAGTGCTGCCAGGCTGGCCATGGACTCCAGCTACTGCTCTTTTGTCACAGATTTGCTTCTCAGGAAGGAAAACTCAAGAAACACCACTTAATATCCATAATGCCAACTAGTGATAAACTTAGACCTTGAATCGAGTCTTAATTCTTCCATCTATTGTTTTTGTACAGGGTCTGTCTCCCTCTTCACCCCCTGCCTGTCTCCTTCCCTCCCTCTTTCTCTTTTTCAAATATTAAATGGAAAGAAAAATACTCAACTTGAGTTATTCTGAGATTGATGTAGTGTGAAACCTAATTTAGAAAAGTGGCTCAGTGTATGAAAACTTTGCTTTTATTTGTGATTCAACAATAGCTGTAGAAAGAAAGGAGGAGCTGCTCCCTGCTGCCACCTGCAGCACAACTTAAAGTCAGAAGGCCTGCATCATTCCTGAATACTATACCAGGGACCATGAGACAATTCAGGGCCCTTGTCCAGAAAAAACAAAACAAAACAAAAACAAAAACAAACCCCTGACAAATTGAAAGTGAAACCGACACATCAACAAATGTTTAATCGTTCTACCCTAAAGAAACTGGTTAACTTGATTGAGTTATGAGTGTTTCCCAGTGGTTGACCAACCACCTATGAGACTAAGACTGGAACTAAATCGGGAAGAATTCTTGCAGCCGTGTGGAAGAGGCCAAAAGTGACCAAAAGTAACCTCTGTGATGACAAACCCGAGATCTCTCCCATTCATCATGTTTATGTCACCATTTTCTGAACATGTGTCCCACGAAGAGGCATGATTCCCAAATGCACATGCTCAGAAAGGAGGACAACCCCCCCTTGGCCCTATGTGCAATCAGCATATTCCATTCAACCCTACATACCCCTTGACATCCTGACCCCTTATCCTTAAATACACCCAACGCCAACCCTTCGGGGAGGTGGATTTGAGAAATGTTCTC